ATTTGAAGTTGATGAAAATGATTGGTCGCTGGAGTTCAAATGAGCGATCGCGACAAGCCGACCCGGCGGGATCCCGTCGTCCTCAATCCGCCGACGATCGCGAGCCGATCCCTACCACCGATTCGCGGGCCGAGAAACTGGTGAGGTCCAAGTTCAGACCCAGCAGTTTTACGCCGCCTTGCCCGAGATTTTCGAATCTTGGGTGCGTCGGCGATCGTCACCTCACACCCGAAGAGCCTATAACCGCGACATCATGTGTTTCGTCGAACGCATGGGATGGCAGTGGCCACGGGATGCGGTCCGTTTTCTCTCGGTTTCCGTCTTGGACGTCCAAGATTATCGAGACTGGTTGCAGAGCGAGTATTCCGCCAAGACCGTGAACCGCCGATTGTCGTCTTTGTCGAGTTGGTTCAAATACCTTTCGGCGTCGGCAGCCGAGCTGCGGCTACCGATCAACATTCCGAATCCGGCGCATGCTCAATTCATCCCTCGCGGACAGGCCGAGCCTGAAAAGCCGGCACAAGCCCTAGGGCTGGGCACGGTTAGAAAGCTTCTAACACTGCCCGAGGGCGACGATCCGGTGAGCCTTAGGGATAAGGCGGTGTTGGCCCTTTTCTTCTACAGTGGTGCCCGGATCGGTGCCATCGCCCGCCTAGAGGTCGAGGATCTCTACATCGACGACGACAACGGGGCCGAGCTCATGCTCGAAGAAAAGGGCGGCAAGACCCGCAAAATCGGTTTGCACACCGTGGCCGCGTCCGCGGTGGCCGGCTACGTGGAGCAATGCGGCCTGGAATCGGGGCCGCTGTTTCGTCGAGCGAGCTCCTCGAGGAGCCGGGAGCTCGGTGACGAAGGACTCTCCACCAGGTCGCTGAGATCTCTCCTGCGCCGGTACTACCAACAGTTGCCCGACGGCGACCGCTTTAGCCCTCACTCCGCCCGGGCCACGGTGGCGACCGAGCTCCTAGAGGCCGGTGTCGACCTGGCGAAGGTGCAAGAGCTGCTCGGTCACCGCAGCATTACCACCACCATGGAATACGACAAGCGACGCCGGTCGACCAAGCAAAGCGCATCCCACGATTTGCCGTATTAATGATCACGGGGGCCCTTTTGAGAGGGGATCGGCGATCACTACGGCCGTGGTACACTTGAGATTATGGACTTCGAGACGGCTCAAAAAATCATCACGCTCTTGCTCTCGCTCTGGGCTATCGTGGTTGCGCGGATGAGCATGTCGACTCAGCCTGCGGTCGATAGTGATCTTTTGGGTGAGCCCTCCGGTGCCAAAAAAAAAACGCTGTCGCTATTAGCACTCGCCCAATCGTAGTGCTAGCAGCAAGATGCTAAAGTATTGAAAATAAATAGCATGGTGCGTGGGTTCATACTCTTGGATTCGATCCTTGGCGACCCAGAGTAGCCCAGCGCCCGCGGGGATCGGCCTAGATCAAGGGGGACTCTTGCTGAATCGCCAGACTCTGCCCCGCACCCGCGGGGATCGGCCCTCGCGCATCTCAAAACGAGGTGGGAATCGAGCCTCTGCCCCGCACCCGCGGGGATCGGCCGAGACCTTCCATCTTGTCCGCAGTATTCGCCCGAGTCTGCCCCCGCGCCCGCGGGGATCGGCCTCCGAGTTT